GACTGGCAAATTGAAGGAGACACAGGAGGTAGAAAAAAGATGACCCCAAACTGACAGTTCATTCTCTCCTCTGTGATTCATTCCAACTTACCCACCTGACCTGCAGACAACCCCTTCCAGGAAGAGGGGGAAAAATCCCTTTAAGGGACATTTTTCTCTGAATAGAGAATGCTCAGTCATCTAAGGTTTCCTGCCTCACTGTGTGTGAGACTGCAGTCCAGAATGGAAATAGGAGGCCTGTCATGGCAGGGATGGTGAGTAGGGTAAGTTATCTGCTACTGAAAAAAATGGTATCTCAAAATGAAGAAAAAACAGAAACACATTAAAAGAAAAAAAGAATCTGCCAGCTCAGACATGAACACAAGAGATCGTCCTTCTCTGAGAAAAGTTACCTGTGTTGTGTCTGTTATCTCAGTAATGTCTGAACTATCTCAAAGGGAACTCAGGAATGTTAGCATATAAATAAGAAAAGAACAAAATGGTAAAGCTTTGTGCGACAGAAATCAGAAACTGGGAGTTTTTCATGCCAACACATAGTAGTGACGGTCCTTTGCAATAGCCCTGTTTGACATCAGCCCCTAGGTGTGGTCTCTCCTGGGTACATTCGCCAGGAGCTAGCTGGCCATGAAAGCTGTCAGGCTAACAGGCAGACAGACCTACCTCCACCACAGTGGCCTTTGGAGAGGTGGCTGGAGCTGGAAGAAATGCATGGAAGTGGAACTGTTCCTCCTTTTAGTTCATTAAAAAACCCAGAACAAACAAGAAGATGTTTTGCTTCCTCTCCCCTTCCTGGATATGGGAGGAGAGAAACAGAAAATAAAATCTAGTTCAAAAGGATAACATATTTTCAGCTCCAGTGAATCATCACTATCATGAATGTCATTATTCTTACTTAATGATGCATCTCAAAGAAACTACTAAGTGTGTACATTGCCTTCTCTTAGTGCACATCCATACATGGCAGAAAGTAGTGAATAATCTAACCAGTCTTCCTCAAATTTAGAAGCTTGGTATTTAGAAAACCTTGCAATACTCTGAGCTTATACACACAAGCTATAGCATTTCTTGTACCATACTATATTTTGCTCCATCTTAACACAGTTCTGCAACAGTCAGCAAAGAGTCTATTCAGAGATCTTCCCAGTAACACATTTTCCAAAGGAAATTCATTTTCCAGGGTAATTTTAAAAATAAGCTATATTCCAAGCTGTTAGAGGACTTTTTTCTTTGAATTAATTTCACTTTTTGTCCTCCAGCAGGCAGCCCCATTGCAGAGTATTCCCAAGACTCCTCATTTACATCCAAGATCCCAGCAACACTGCGGAACCTATACCTGAAGATGTGTGATACTGAATCACACCCCCAGCAGACTGACCTAACCTACATAAACGTGTCACTAAAGGTAACTGCTTCCATCTCCCATCTATCATTCAGCACACAGAGGAAACATTAATCTTTAAGGCTCTCCATTTTTTTTCTTGAGAATAGTTCAGCAATTTGGATCTGCAGCAACACTCAAGTAGCTATGGAAAGATGCAAACATAGCTTAAGTAATCACTCAATTGCTAAGACTACTTTTTTCGCTCATTCTCTAGTCAGTTCTCAAGCCCCCTTTAGTTGATGAAAATACAGTTGTCCCTTGGGATTTAGAATTACACCACATGGAACAGATGCACAAAAAATTCCTTAGCTGCTGGACTAGATTGTCATACAAAGCACATGCCAATTCCCTGAACCACTGCTCAACTCTTAGACAAGCCATTTCTTTTTCTAACCATGATAACTCACTATGGTTAGTAAGTGATTCAAGTGGAGAGGAGCAAACACTGTGTCATGGCAGTGAGAAAAGCTAAATCTGTTCATCCCATGGCTGAATTTGCCCCTTTCTGCTACCAGGCAAGGGTGACAGATGAAACACTGTGTTAACTTGATGTAATTAAAAGATAGACCTGGGAGGGGACAGTACAAGCGACAGCTGTCAAAACATAGTTCCGGCACAATATTTAAGCCTCTTATCAGTGTTTATTCATTCAAAGGTTGTTCTAGTAGAGAAGAGCTTGTGTACAGATGCACATGCTTGTCTGTACTTGAGAAGACAAGCAGCCCTCACAGGCTTCTCATGGAGCTGTGCAACTCTTTGGTTCTGGTTGCTAACACACCAGCTCAGTACTTTGTGTCTAAGCCTACCTCCAGTCAGTGTTTTCTGTTATGCATCACAGAAGTGAATCCCAGAGATTCTTTCCTTGGTGGTCTTGTTTCTCCATCCCAGTGATACCCAATGGGCTTAACTCAGCAGAAATTGTCCCTTTAGATACTTTCAGCTTAGCCAATTTCTGGCTTGACAGTGCTGCCTTTGTAGTTAAATAGAAGTACTACAAATGAAGAGTGTTTGGCTAGATTTTACTCTCTGTAGCAGGGATGGTCAGGGAAACCAGTGCCCTGTCTTACAATGATAGTTTAGCTGATTCCTTGGCAGCCTTCAATTGGCAAGATTCATCCCAGTTTCTTCAAGCATGGTTTCTTAAGTAGTACTGCAGGTTTTGATCCAAATTGGAAACGAGTCTTCTACACTTCGGCCCAAAGGAACAAATTCCAGTGCCTGAGCCATCTGTCTGGCTGTACTCACAGGGAATGCTTCCAGGTACCCTATGTAGCCTGATACAGAGAAGCTATACGTGATCCACTTGCAAATTACATGTGGCTCAGCAACCACAGGTTTGCCATTCCTGTTACAGTACTGCTCTGTCACAGAAAAACCAAAGGTCATCCTTAGATGGGTGAAGCTAAATGTCATACTAAGCTATATATAAATAGATTAAAAGAAATTTATAAAACTTCTGCTCTGTGAAGTGCTGTAAGACATGGTCTGGATTAGTGCATCCAATTTTGGTAGTCCACTTCAAGGAAGAGATCTAGAGAAAGTGTGCAGCAGGATATGATCAAAGGGATGGGAGAGATTTAATCTGTGAATGAGAAGGCAGAGGAAATTGTAAACTTCACGTACACTGCAAAGCAGGGGACTGACTCTTCCCGGTGCCTGTTGCAATAGGACAGCATTAATGGCTTCAGTGAACAAAGGAGATGCAAATGGGACGCTAGGAAAGCTTTCTAGTGGGAAGCTTAGTTCAGCACTCAAAGACTGCCTGAGGAGGATGTGGAGTCTCCATCAGTGGGGTTTTTTAAGAAGAGATTAGACAATCGTCAGGTCAGAATAGTTAGGGAGAGTGGCTTCAAGGAGTTCTCATAGTCTCCTACGATCCTGTTTTTACAGTTCAAGAAGAGATTCTTTTTTTTTGTTTGGTTTAGCTGCAACTGTCTGTTTCAGACTCCTGCTGGCAGGGATGGCATTTGAGAAAAGTTATGTGTAAAACGCTTCAAAATGGATGTTTCTGCATTTGCTTTGCATACTACTGTGATCACCGAACCCCCCCAAACTTTGATGTGTTAATCACCAAATAGTGGGTTTTTGTTTCAAAACCTGTGAATCTGTAGTGGAAGAAGGGATGGATGTTAGGCATAATGAAACCTTAATCCTAGAAGCTCCTGAGTGGTTTCCCTTTGATTTTGTAATCACAATAAGGTTTAGCCCCACATACATAAACACAAGTATGATACAAAAGGAATTAATTATATGCTTTTATAGCACAGAAAGTTCATTTGAGCACACAGCATTTATGGTTTTCCTCACAAAGATCTCAGTTCCATAAATCTCACTCATGCTGGTAAGCCCCTTAAAACTGAAGGTACATACCCCACAAAGGAAACAGCACAGTTTATCAGGAGTCAGGACTATGAGATTTGCAAGGCCAAGGCACCAGTTCATACCAGTAAACTACTTCTCTTGCTTGACATCCTTGTAACTACTGGCAGCTGGAAAAAGGAAGGTGTTATCCGGAATGAAAATCAGAGATTAGGCAAAATTTATTTTCCTGCTGCCAATGAAAACACCAACACAGGAGTCCAGATTTAAAAAAAGAACGTGTCAATATGCGGATATGCATATGTTATCTTTTAACACTGGGTGTTCCCTGCTGTTGTATGTAATTTGTAATAAAAATGATCTGTTGCCATCAATGACTTATGTATCCAGTCTTGCTTGTGCTCCACTGTTACATCTCACAGTTCCTATTTTCAAGGAAAATTTAACATTTTGATATGTATTTCTTAAGGAAAGCCCCTGCTGTACTTTTCCCTTAGCGTTTTATTTTCTTCTGAACTTTTGACCTAATTATATAGAGTTTTTAGGTTACCATATTTAAAGCATGTGTAAAGACAAAGTCTCAGCTGAACCTTCCTCATCATTCATTTCCTACATCTCTTCCCCTAGGCTCCACATTAGATTTCAGGGTTTAAATTTTTTGTACATGACAATACAAAGTGAGTCACTCTTTGGAAACTCTTCCTGCGATACAGGAGTTGTAGTGGTAGTGTGATGTGCCTTCACAAAGCATGGACCAGGGGAATCTCTGTTTTATGATTCCCGTTTGCCCATGCAGCACACATTTCAGCACACATTATATGCTGAGCAAGAGATACTCTGGTCTTAAAATATAATTCCCACTTATAGCTGTGGGCATTAGATGAAATTAGCAGGTGGCAAAAAGTTCAAAGTAAATGAGAGATTCTTGATACTATAATACACAGTTAAGCTGCAAAACATCTTAACAAAGGAACACATGTAAAAAATATATGTGTATTAAAAAAGGGCAAATTTGCAATGAAAAAATCTGTTAAGGACTCTTGACTACAAAGGAAGTGCCTTAGGAACACTGTCTTAGTGAGTCCCTGAGCAAAATATACCTGGATCTTGGGAGAGTATCCTGGGGAGGGATCACTGCAGGCTTGCTCTGTTCTTATACTTCTTTCCAGGCTCCCCCATTTGGCTATCACTGGTGACAGGACAGTGATTAGGTGAACCTTTCTTCTGCCCTTGCATTTTCTTATGCAGAATTGCCTGCAGGTGATGATACGGGATGGACTCTGCGCCATGGTTTCTGCAACAGGCCTGCCTCACACAGTTTAACTTCAGACAGACAAACAGGTCTCTGCAGACCTATTTAAAACACAGTGCAGAGAAAAATCTAGTCCTTTCAGTTAGATGGCTGCCTACCCTCCTAGTGCTTGTTTTTGACTCTCCTGCCTTCTCCTCTCTCTCTTACACAATGAATACTGGGGAACAAAAAGTGGAGCCAAAGCAAATGTCAACTTAGACCAAGAGTTTGGCATGGAAGACTTGACAGTGAGGCTTCTGAATTTGTGAGCAAACACCTACCAGATTTTCAAAAGCACTGGTGGGATGCCTGCTACCTCAGCCTACAAACAAGCCCAGCCTTGAGATGAGGAACCTGGTCCCCATCACTGGGGCAATGCTACATCACTTCCTTAGGAGATCAGTAGTGGAGAGTAGGCACCCACTTCATGAGCTAGAGGATATATATGAGCTCCAAATTGTTAACTCCAGAGATGAAAGTCAGTGAGAACAGGTAATGTAAGCGTCTGTTCCAAAGTCCATGAACTATGTTGTCTTTATCATGTTAGTGGAATTCGTTTGTCATATTATTCTGGGGATACTGTATTCAGCCTCAGAGCCCTGAGCCCTAGTCAAAGCATGCTATTTGGAAAAGCCAATTTCAAACCATTTCCTAAAGAACAAACTCTTATTTGTGCATATTTGCCCAGACTTAAAATGAATTCCCGTATCTTGCAGACTTCACACAATTCATCAATTTCTCATGATCAGTCTGGGGAGGCGCAGAGGAAGGCTTATAGTACTTTCATGTTTTCTCATTAAAAAACACCCGTTGGTACATTAATAAGACAAGAACATCTCAGCAGGACATAGAGTTATGTGACATTTTAAGGCTTTTGAAGAAAATGCACAGAAAGGAAGTGAACCCCAGCAGCCACAGCCAGCAAGAAAACCAGTAAATGAGCTTTTGGTGCAGAGAACAAAGAGGCAGGGAGCCAGGAATGGATAAAGAAAGTGAGATATGACAGAAAAGGGGAGATCATTCTGCCTGGGAGCCTCATTATTATTAACAGACTTGAAATAAGGAAAGACTTCAGAGGTCAAACTGTTCTGATGTGTCCACCTCCATTAGGCTAGGATAAAAACACAAAACCCCCCATTTGTCCTGTTCTTGTCAGTGTATTACACCCTGTACTGAGCCCCATTCTGAAAGGGCTGATCAAACTGGATACATTTATTGAGCGTATGGATTACATCCTGTTTATTTTTTAAGTTTTTGCTGCAGAGTAGGACAAAGATGGAGGAAACCATCTCTCATGATAGGCCTCTAGGAACTCCTAGATTTCCTTACAGGAAGGCAAACATATCGCATTTTTTTTTTTTCAGACATGCATGCCTCTCTTATTTGGATCTATCCATCTTCATGTGATTATCCTTCCCTTCTTTCAAACAACCTTCATCTGAGATCACACAAACCATGCCTTCATGGCTATCAGCAGTAAATCTTTCCCTTTGATGCTACTGCCATGTTGATCAGCATTTTACCACTGGGAGAAGCCATTAAGCCCACCAGACTGAGGGAGTGAAAAGCATCTGCAAATACTGGCTAGAAGTCTAAACACTGATTCTGGCTCATGCTCTGGAGCATGAGCAGCTGCTGGCAGCAAAGGCAAATAAATGCATGCTTTCCAGAAATATGTATTAGTAGCGAAAAATTGGTTTTAAAAAGTAGATTCAGCTGTTCAAGGTTCCCTTTCCATGAACGCCATAGTTTGAGAAACAGAAGTTTAGTGTGCACCCAGCCTAATGCATTCCCCACCACACAGAACCTGCTTCACCTTTATTAGAAGGTTATCTCCCTTTAGCAAGATGAAAGCATAAGCCTTTAAATGTTTAATAGTTTTCACTTATTCCTGTATATTTGACAGCTATTCTTCCAAGTAGGCTCCATACTTTGTTAACATACTGAGTCTATTAATCCCATTTTGCTGAACTCACCCTCTCTCCTTTCACTTTGACCAAGCAGTTCAACTATCACAAGGTAGAGAAATATCTTAACATATTTTCTGTCATATGTCCCCAGATCTTTTAGATAGATTTTCATTTTTTTTTGGCATATAACTTTGTGGGGGTGGGGTACTGTCCCATAAAACACGTGATATTGTTTCCTTTTTTTTAAAAAAAAACCCTTGGGTTTGTGTTTTTTTTCATGGTGTAGGAATAAAATACTCTCACAGAGATGCCACACAGCATAACTAAATCTTCCAGTTTATTATACTGTTTTGGAAATTTTTAGTCAGCAAACCAGACAGTATGTTTTAGAAATACTGAAGTTTATACATATCCAAAACATTTTCCTCCTGATCTAAAAATATCCACACTTAGTGTCTGACAAAGGACAGGGTATTTTATTTGCGTGACTTTGTTAAACTGCCTTCAGTTTTTAAAACAATGTTAAACACCCACCTTAAGTTAATGTTAAAAAAATGCTTTAGTTCTATAACCTTATAAAACATACCTCAACAAACTTCAAGATATGTGAATACATTTTTTCATAGAAAGAAAATCAGAAACTGAAGTTGCTTGAGCCCACCAGAAAAACCAAACCAAACCAAAAAATTTAAAGAAACTATGTTGGTAAAAGGTGAAAATACAGAACTTTTAATTAAAAGATCTGGTTTAGATGTGTTTTTCCTCATAAAGAAAATCCCTACATAGTTTTGGGACTTGTGACCTTTTGGGGTTGTTTGATTTTCATAAAAATCAAGCATTTTCATTTATAAAAATCCTTTCATGAGGAAAATAAGCAATTCCCTGACCGGTTCTTTGAAGCACCTTGGATTATCTATCCATATTTGTCACGTACAAGAAAGGAATGAAAAATATCCCACAGGTGGCTTCTTCCAAACTGACTGAAATATTAGTAGGCAGATGCAAATAATTAAATTGAGCTGATATTTATTGTCACTTCAACGTGATTAGGAATGTGTGCGTGCAGTAATGGAACTCACTAGCCTTAAGGAACTGTTAAGAATATCCAGCCCAAAGCACACCCCTCACTTCCAGAAACCCCAAAGACAACTAGAAGAAAAAAGTACCATGAATGGGAGGCATTCTGAAATAGCATTCCTATATCAAAATTAAGTTGGAGGAAAACAGATACTGTTTTTTTATTCCTATAGGACATTAAGAAACAAAGGGGGGGGGGGGGGGGTGTAATAGTAAGTACCTCAAGTTGACCCTTTGGTATTAAACTCCAAATAAACTTTCAGTAAGAACTCCCACAAATCCAGTATTATATTTGCAACAGAACTGCTGACAGTCATCAGAGCAAGTTTACAGTATGCTAGGCTTGCAGACCAGAACTACAGATAATAAAGTAAACATATTTCCAGCACAACTATAATCTGTAAAAAGAATTGTTTAGGTAATATCTGAGTTTGTTGTCCTCAGATACACAATCAGAAAATATTACTTCCTGAGCCAACTCTCAGAGAAAAAGTATTCACCTTTTTCTTTCTCAAAGTTATGCTAATAAGGGATTATTATTAATAATTTTTTTTCTAACAAGATTCCGATTTGCTGGATATTCACCAGAAATTGTCTATAAATACCAAGCATTATACTGGTTTTGATGAGTAATCAAACTATAAAGTTTACTAAATTATTTTCTTTCCATTAAAAAAGAAGTGATGCATGTGATAGTTTAAGGAAGCTGACAGTCTCTTCTTATCCAACAGGCACAATATGAACAGTAAGCAGAGAGACCAAATAAGAAATTGCCTACGAGGGTGCCAGCTGGTGGAAGAACTTTTGGTAGTTTGGACATTTGAGCTAACATTTCCAAATTGTTTCCTATCTAGCACTAAATGGCATTATTTGCGTAATAAACTGGAATCCAAACCATGCTTATTGTCCTTCCAGTGGTTTGAGCTTTTTTACTGTCCCCTTTCAGATACCAAAAGCAGCCATTGCTTCCTGTGAGAAGCCACATTGAATATCCATTATTCAAATACCCTTGATTTATCCTTGTAGCAATTTGAAATGGCTGCAGAAGAAAGTCCAGAGCACAGATACAATGAACTTGGTTAAAAACAAGGAAGGCAAACACTGCACAATACCACACAATCTGCCCTAGAGAGCAGCACCTCTGGGAGGAGCTCCATGATGTCATTGCGATGAGCTGAAATAGGAGTATGGTGCTGTCCCAGAGACATAACACATCAAACAGCAAGAAGAAAAGTTGGGCACAAAAATATATTGGTCTCAACCACTGTGTGCTGACAGTACTGCCTCCCATTAAACTGCACTCTTCTGAAGAAATGTTTTATGTTATTTCCCTATCTTTGTTCTTTGTTTTATTTTTTAACTGTTGACACACAGGAAGTTTGCACTATCCAATGCCAGTTTCAAAAGTCATCTAGTTTACATTTTGAGTCCAGCTTTCTATGTGTATTGCCTGTCCTTCACACCTCTTTTCAATGCCTTGCACAATTTAAACAAAATTTTACAGTGTTGGTGATAAACAAAACAAAACAGGCCACTGGGTAAGGAAAGAAGATCACCAAGAGTGTGATGACTGAGGGAAAGGAAGTCAGGTGATCTCACATGTTAATGGACACCAAGGCAGACACATGGGAAAGTGAGACATTCCTAGTGCTCCAACCATGCCAAAGTCTTAACTGCTGCAATTGTAGTTCAATCACAAGAAACAAATCCAAGGTGCTCCCATTGGAACCAGACCTCAGTTTATGGTCACTGGATCATCACTGTGCCACTGAGGACATGTAGCAGGGGCTTCCACATAAAGATTCTTGATGGATCTCCTGATGCCTGCTTGAAGCCTGGAGACAGCCTGTCAGTAGAACCAGCAGAAAGAGAGCGTGCAAGGTTGTGCTACCATCCCAGTCTCCCGCCATTTTGTGGTCTCCCCCTCCCTCCTCCTTACGCCATGCCCTGGGAGCCTTTGGGACGGTCTGTGCTGCCCAAGTCTTAAACCACTAAAGTTCTTTCTTCTCCCAGGTGTGTCACTGCACAGTTGCACTACTGCTTTATGTAGATGGATGTACAATATATTTAAAGTAAATAGTCATAATAAATATTAAATACCTCACCAGTCAGACTCCTTGCAGGCAAAGATTTTAGTGCTATTTCATTATTTTGGGTGCTGCTTCACAGTTCTCTGCTGTCCTATTGAGCTCACCAGTCTGTCAAGGTGGCAAATCCCTTAAGGTTATTGAGGGGACCTCAGATGGAAAACTGGATGGCCCCACAGACCACAGGAACAGAGGAGCACCTCCATATCCTCTGAGTACGTGACATGAAAAATCAAAACATCAGATGTGTCCTGTAGTCCCAAAATGAATAGAAGTGCTTTTCTTCTTTCTCAGAACCTCCACTGAAGGGAATTACTGCAATTGTCTCAACATAAACAAGCAGTTCCAAGGGCAGCAAAGATAATCAAACCTATTTTATATGAACTGTGTTTTGTGGTTGGGCTTGCTGATATTTAATAGGATGGCAGGGCTGCACATATAACCTTTCAGCATTAGGGCATTATACTATTCTTCTCCTATGTGTACTCTTTGCTGCCTAAACCAGCACAAAACTGTACTGCAGGTCTTTTTTTTGTGGATGGGCTCTCTCTTCCCTCCTCCTTGGCTTCCTCCTGAAGCTAGTGGGATTATAACACCTCTGAGATCAGTGCTCTCCTGCTAATCTGCCTGAGCCTGTTGGTCCACCCCAAAAGTTGTTCATGGGGCTGGCAGGTATGATCCCAAAAGCCTTCTTGACTTAAAAAAATGCTGTAAGAAGACAAGATGGAAGCTTGCAGCTTCATTGAGAGGAAGAAGGTGCTCTTGTACCCCTTCACACTGCACTGAGATGTAAATAAGTCTACAAAGTTCCCTTCACTCAACTTTGTCCTGAAGAGGAAGGGAAGAAGTAAATGATAAAGGTACACAGCACCAGATACAATTTCAGAATTCATTCTCAGAAAGCAGCATGACACAGCATTCATGGTCCCTGATGGGAAAACTCACTGTAGATTTTTCTACAGCCGCATCAATGGTGGTTGTGTTTTGTGGCTGTTGAGATAGCAGGGAGTCAGAACTGGCAAACCAGCTCACAGAGTCATAAACCAAACCATCCTCCACTACCACCCTGAAAGTACTAGACATTTTACAGCAGGATTGAATTGTTATTTCTCAAATAACTGAACAGGACTTGCAATTTCATAGAATCACAGAATAGTTAGGGTTGGAAAGGACCTTAAGATCACCTAGTTCCAACCCCTGCCATGGGCAGGAACACCTTGCACTAAACCATGTCGCCCAAGGCTCTGTGAAACCTGGTCTTGAACACTGCAATTTCTGTCATTTGTCTGACTTTTCGTTGCTATCTACAGGCACACATCTTTGCTTGTACTTAAGCAGTTCCTTCCTTGGCTGAAGGGGCAAGAAAAATTTCTTTGTAGTCTACATTACCCTGTTCTTCAAAAGCTTGCTAGTGTGATAAAAATCAAACCCTAAATAGCCGTTATTGAATGGATTGGCATAAAGTGTCTATAGTATAATACAGTAAATCAGTATTTACTGTGTGACAGCGTGACAGATGCTCCAGAATTGTGGAAAACTCAAAAAGTACTGAATTTTCTGACAGTGTGAATTTTCTGACAGCTGTACGTACAGCTAAGGACTTTCTGTCTACAGAGCTGGAAAAGCAAGATAAAAATCCACTCCCTTCACAGACTTAAGGCAGGGAGAACTAATTAATGTAAATCCTCTATACCAAAAGAAGGAAGGTAAGTCTTTTGAGGTGTCACATTCTCCTCTCATAAGAAAAAGCATGGAGTATTTCAACTAGATTCATAGGCCCCTGTTGATAACACCTACTGGTTTGAGGATAGTCAATCTCTATTAACAGGAATGATCTCACAACAAGCAGAGCCAGCTGTATGCAGTACTCTGTGGTGCTGGCCTATGAAGAGCCCTAGTGAAAGGCAGGGGACTAACTACTAAGCTATGGATGCTTAAAAGGATGGGGGGTTACTCCTAAATGTTTTGTTCAAGAACTAATGATCCGGTTTATGAGTTGTAATAGGTCAAGAGCAAACTGTTGCTTTAACTTGGGGTTCTATGAGAAAATCAAAACTCTCAAGGTAGTCAGGGCGCATGTCCACAACACATGCTGGGAGCAGAGGGCAGAGATGCTGGAGAGAGAGCGCAGAGCCTACCCAGATGAAGTGCAAGCGTGTCAGCATTGCAGGATACCTTGTTGGAATATGAAGATGGTGGTGTTTCATCCTCCCAGAGCTATAATCTGCACATGGACAGGCACAGAGGAGGTAATACCAATGCAACTCATTTACAGCTCTGGCATCTCAATGCCATACTCCATTGCAATTGTAGAGATGCACCCTCTGAGAACTGCAGACAGGCTCAGATGGAATTGCACAGTGGGGAGAGAACAGTAGGACTAGCCAGCAAGGGACACATCCTCCTTAGGTTGTGGGTGGGACCACTGGGAAGTAAGAGATGCAGGTAACTCAGAAACTACAACATATATCACTACATCCATGAAGGTGAATGGATGATTCCCTCCTCTTCTGAATGACTGCTTCAGTCTTGAAACATGATTAAAATGTGAACTGAATAAAACATGGAACAGAACTACATTAAAAAGACAAGGGTCTCTTTGAGACTCTTTCTCTGAACATGCTTTTTCTTTTTAACTGCACCACTCCTGTGTAATCCCAGGCAGCCTGGGGAAGCTACCTTACACAGCTTTGAGAACTGATGCATTTCCCTATGTTGGGGACTTTGCCACAAATAATTTCCTCCAAACCAAGCTGACCAAAAAACCCACTGGTTTTATAACAGCCAAACAAAAACCTTGTTGCAATGAACCACAAGCAAGTTAGTCCAGAAACCACAATACTAAAAGATTTATGTTACTATAATCACTCATATAAATAGGCGAGATTATTCTGACAGGGAGTAAAGTGGTTAACTAAAATTATAGCTAATAAAATAATTCCCTTTACAGTTATTTTTCTGTGAGTTGGAACAGATACAACTAAACCTGCTACAATAATAGATGCTTTGGTATCTTTACATGACCAGTTCAGCCAAGGTCAGGTTCTGACTGCTTCTGGATCTACCAGAACTTCTGTACCCAGTGAATTGATGGGGGTTTTCTTGTGGATGACATCTCTTCAGCACATCAGGCAGAACTGAAGCAGACGTGTAGAGAATACAAAGGTTGCGTGGGGGATGATGACAGTCTAGGCACTATGAGACACATTCCCTCTTGCAAAATTAAACAGGATTTTGATTTTCCTGGAGCTCCCTCTTGCACTGTTGAGACATGAGACAGGTCACTTCTATCAAACACATGTCTATCTATGGGAGGCCACCAGATATATTGTATTCTCACATTAGTAGAAACCAGTTACACCATGTAACAAAGGTATCATAGAAAAGAATGTGTCCAGCAGACGTCCATCTCTTTTGGGATGAAAGGGGTTACTTCCCCACACCGCTGTAAATTATGTGTGCTGAAGTAACTGCAGCACTTGCCTTCAGTTTGTTATAGCCAGCTTTGAAAGAAATACACTTTCACACTGAACACAAGTCAATTGAAATCCACACTTACAGAAGATGGAGTTGAACAACTTCTCCTGAATTAGCTGCACCTAATCCTTCCATAGTTGTACATACAGTTTTAAGAAGTTTGGATTCTGCCACATCAAAAGTACCATGGCAGCATTCAGTGGCATTTACAGGACCCTCCACTAGGGCTAAGTGGTGTGTAATAGTGCAGGGAATCACTCTCACATGGTCAAGTGCTATTGAAAACCAGTAGCAAGAACATAGTGATCTCCCAGGGCTCACCGCAGATCCA